AAGTTTCATTTTGTAATGACTTTATGACATGCATCTTATGTGCCATTTTGTAATGACTTTGTTGATTTATGTGCACTTTATGTGCCATTATGCAATAACATAACTGATTTATCTGCACTATCGGTGCTTCTTATTATCAATATTAAACATTTCACTTTAACTTAAAATTGGAAATAACAAATACCAAAATTTTCATTAATAAACATGAATTCATACATTATCATTTCCTATTGATCCATATTACATGAACTTCTACACAATGAAAAACATTAAGTACATAACATCAAAATACCTAATTTGACAATAACTTATAAACTACATATACATGGATCTATAAACAAATGTCAAACATAATCCAAGACACCATAAATGCAAGGGTTAAACAATAACTTTTGTTCTTCTATGTTGAAGCTTCTTCTTTGTCTTTTCAAGCTTTCTCAAACTAAATTAGAGACCACATTCCTTTCTAAACTCCTTCCTAAATTCTTTACCTATGTCCTTTTCAAATTCACTCAAATAAGCCATTATTATTTCACAATTATTGCAATTTAGTGCAGTTTTTTGTGGTCCATTCCCACCATGAATCAGACAAGTCCAAGTTCATCTCCCCATACAAATAGATCACAATTTTCACACTCTACACAGAAAAATGAAGATTACATAATCAATTTTCTCAAAAAATCAAAGATCAAATTTAAAAATTTCTTACCCCAACAGTTCGACATACCCTGAATTTTCTGTTGGGATTTTCAAATGTGTTTGACTTCCAATTTTGGTTAACATTTATGAAATGTGTAATCCATCGTTTATTGTAATGGGCGTACCTTTGATAGATTAAAGCTAACATTTTTAATGATCTAACAATTTACTAACCGTGTATGTGCGGATTGAATTTTATTCAAACAATATTTGTTAAAATTTGTACTCAAAGTATGGCATGTGTTAGTACATTGAAAGTGTTTGTTGACATCAATTTTTTGGTTTCTGCAATTTAGGAACAAATTATATGATTTTCCTCACCGCAGGACCAAAGGGATTGTTGCTGGTTCCAAGCCTCAAGTTGGTGTTATATTTAGTGATTTGTTGTTGTTTTGAAGTCTTAATCATTTTCTCCTCTTCATCCTAGTAAACATTATTTGAGTTTTACAATGAATGACTGTTAAATATTCTTTATCTTATTAGTTTTCTAGTATGATATGGATTAAAATTCTAGTTTTTTTTATGATACTATTGTCAACCACTACTATTTTTTATATACAAGAGTCACTCTTATTTAAGAGATTAGTGCCCATCACCACTTGAGCACAGCACAACTTACACTTGTATGATTTTGAATTAATTGTATGACTACAACCACGACAAAACTGAATCGTCATCTTCAATTAAGAAATTTACCATTTGTCACTATGGTTAAGGATTTGGATGCCTGCCTAACATTGTTATTACCTCAAACTTTATAATATAATTTCTGTTAATTTGTTCAAAACTTGGACAATTGGGCTTACTATATACAATATTTTAAAAAAGAAAGAATAAAATCCTATGTTGGAGGAAGATGAAGATGAGCAATTGATGTCAAGTTAAAGAGTAGAGATGGTTTGTTAATTGAGTAGGATACCAAAAGGCCAAGAATTCTTGCGAATAGACTCACATGTTGATCTTTCTTTATATAGGTAATTAGTCGTCATCATCATCACATTAGAAATTGTCATAAAGATCATAAACTACTTCAAATAACAAGTCTTTTCAAGTGCAAGTAGTTGCATGTAATTCACTAAAAGGAATGAAATTGACTAGTTGTCTTTATATTAATAAAAGTTACAAAATATCAATTACTCCCTCCATTCTTCTTTTAATTTAACTTTTTTTTTAATATAAATTTTGTTCTTTTTAATTGTTATTTTAAAAAAAAAAACACAACTAGTTATGCTTTTGTCAAAAACTACTCATAATCATTTAGACAAAATATATATTTTTTCTTAACTATATCTTTCAAATTTAGATTGGTCCCTCAATTATTTTTCGTATCATATTAGTTTCTTAACTCTTAAAACGTGTCATAGTAGTCCTTTTTGTCGTATTAACAATGAATCTAGAAATCGATTTTTGAATTTTTCTATCACTAATTAAACAAAAAGGACTAACATGACACATTTTAAGAGTTAAAAAATCAATCTGACAAAAAAAAATTAAGAAATCTATTTGAACACAAGAATATAGTTAAGGGACTAAAAAAGATATTTAGCTAATAATTTATCATAGGAAGAAAAAAATTAAATGAATTAATAATAATAGTAAAAATTAGGATAGATAAAATAACAATTATATAATTTAAAAAGTAACAAAATTTATTAATTTTTTATTAAGTGTAAAAAGTAAAAAGTTACACTTAAAAATGGTGGGAGTAAAATTCAAATAATTAACATTATCACATTATAATTACTCCTGGTCTTTAGACATAAAATTTAAATAATTAACATTATTACGTTATTCAGTCTTCGTATGGATCTCAAAGAGGCTACTCAATAATGCTCATGAGATCATCCATATTCAGAAATACGTATCCAAACAAATGGCTTCTAGAAGATATAATTCTATAGTAGTCCTACGGGACATGAAAGAATATCATTTGGTGCTTATATTGGTTGCGGAACCTACCTAGATTGGAAAGCAACTCCCTAATCAGGAAGGATCGTACAAAATATACAAGTGGTTGTCGAATGACATGTACAAACTAGATGGATGGAAACTCATCCATAGAACTTGGAAATCAATAAATTTATTTTCAAATAGATTTTGGAAGTGGCCTCTTCCTAGATGACCTCCTTCAAAGTTTTGATTTCAATGTTCGCCTCAGAAATATTTTTGCCAAAATTTTTTATAGGCATCGGTCCTTATCTTTCTTATCCTTCTCTGACTTATCTATTAAGTGTTACGCCTTCTTACGACTGTCATTGGTAAATGACATCTTGGTATAGGTTTGGTTGAGTTCTCCTTCGTAGTGGTTAACTCAGTCTTGAAATCCACCAAAGACCTATCAAACTGTCTTGCTCTAATAGAAGGCCCCCCCAAGAGATGGGTTTCCCCCATGTTGGACTTTTGTTTTGCGTCTAGCTAACTCACCATCTTGATGTCATTGGGGAAGTTGATATGCTTGTGTACAAAGTATCGGGCATCGAAGTCCTTGTTCCAAATAAAAAGTGCAACCTTGCTCCGAACTTATCTGATGAAGTAGTCCCCAAAAACAACATAAGTTCTAGGTCTATAGAGGTATCCACATACATATCAATAATATCCTTACATTTATAAACTTTGGGGTTTTTAAATCATATCGAAAACTAAATTTCATCAATTGCTCACAGTTTCATAGTGGAAATGGACATGTCTGAGACTATACAAGCCCTTCACCGATTTCGTCTTCTTTTAACCTTAGGTTATCAAACGTGAGGGGTTACTATTTGGATTATTGTACTATGTCTTGAGCAACCCTTCACTACAGAGCCTTCTTCTCACCAATGGGCTTGGGGGCATCCTTTATGCAAAAGAGTGTGAACAAGGTTAAATAAAAATAACCACGTTAGTCAAAGCATTCAAATTTGAAAAAAAAACTTACTCAAATAATCATAAAATATTGTGTTACTCGCATCACTCTGGTTATACTCCACTTCTTCCCTTGCACTAATATTATATAATGCTTCCAGGAACTCAACGATTTCTCTTTCTGACTCTCTCATCATATCACAAAGTGTTCTCTTTGGAAATGACTCCTATAAACGAAAGCTTCAATTATCAATGCCTTTGGTATCATAGAAGGATACAAATAATATGTTAAAATAAGGCCACCATCTCTAAACTCTTACAGACGATGCCTTGACCATACAAAACAAGGCCACCATAGTCTCGCTAATGTAGAAGGTCAGGATATCATCAATTCATTCACCAAAATGACTTGTAGCGGTAGCTGTTATTGATGATCATGTTTGTATTGGGAAAGAATAGGGCAAAACAATGTCCCTATCACTATTATTATAGTCATTAGAGTCGAAGCTACTAGAACTACACTCGTAACTCCTGAACATTCCTAATTCTACAAGTTCCATCATTAAGTCGTCTTAAATTCAACACACAATCTTTCCATATCTCATAAATCCCTTCATGTGCCCTAAGTTCTACCACATTATCATTTTCATCTAACTCCCTAAGAATCATCATTATTAAACGAGGAAAAAGAAAAGAAGGACAAAAGAGGGAATAACTTAATACTTGTATTATGTGAAATTCTGGTATGCAGATCTCATATGTCCCAAGAACATTGATTTCTGCTCAACAAGGACGAGGACAAACCATGACCAATTTAAATTTCTTTAAATTGTACCAATGTTATGACGTCTCTTGTAACATCAGCATACAGACAGACTATTTATCTAAACATTTAAACTATGCAGAATTGTAAATGCTGAAAGATAAATAACACAATGAATTGTTTACCCAGTTCGGTATACAATGCAATTTCTGCCTAGAAACCACTAGACAAGAGTATACCCACTCACTCCCCCTCAATCACAGCATGATATACAATTCAATACAAAAGACAGACTTTAAAAGACACTCTTCAAAGTCACAATACTTGATTTTGCTTAACAGCTTCAATCAAGGACAATTAACACAACAGTTCATACACACTAACCAAAGCAATTATACAGCATACAATTGCTTGGCACACAACGGGGTTCAATTTAATCAATAAAATATGAATGATCATTTGATTTTTTTCCTTATTTAATCAATAAAATATAACATTAGCTTAAAACCTCCTTAAAATCTTACTAGAGAGCAAAACGGGGTTCGATTTACTCACAACTAGAACAACCAAAATTTACAATTTCAAGCAAACCCTCAATTTACCAATGCCTCGCTTAAGAGCCACTAAAATAAGCTTAAACTATCTAGAAACCCCTTTTTCAAATAAAGGAATCTCTCCCAATAAAGAGAAGGCACCATCAACAGGAAACACATCTATTGTTACAATATTCATTATAACCAAATTGTCTGATTCCTCTATTGTCAATGGTCACTCTCACTTCTTCATCTCTTTTCCTCTTAGGTAGAGACAAAGAAAACATCACTTTGGCTGAGACCACTTTTTTTGCTAGTAGTTTCCACTTGGGATCATCTTTCCGTTTCTCTTGCTCCATTCTCAATTGAAATTGCCTGTCACATTCCCAAAATCAGCTTAATTATGAGTTACAAAATTTTCATATACATTGATAGCAAGAAAATAGGACAAGAATATCCTTATAAGATTATGACAAAAACAAATACATAGATATTTAGGCAGCTATAATAACAACTTGCATCAAGATGCAAATAAAAATATCAGAGAACTATGTTAGATAGGGAATGAAACCAGCCATGCAATTTGCAAACCACAAAAAATATATGATTGGACCCCATTTACATACCTAATCAACGGTGGGAATTTATGCGATGAAACGAGCACAGCTCATAATATAAAACCATTTTTATTAAACAAATCTAAATGTTCTGTCCATGTCCCTGGCCTCTTTCAATCTCAGTCGCAGGTTCATTTTTTTTTGTTTATTAAACAAATAAGTCTTTTGACTCTTCAAAATTGGAAAAAGGGTGCGTGAGTGTGCTTGTGACTTTGTATAAGTAAAAATGAAATTGAATTTCTTTTCTTTGATGAAATTCAACTTCTAAATTCAAAATTCAAACCATTCAGTTTATGAGGAAAAAGTTAACTTGGTCTATTTCAATTATTTTAGTTCTGTATTAATAAGTTTATTGATGCAATTAAATCCATACTAGTACTTTTTAGGAGTATCTCCACTAAATCCATCTAAGATCTACCATAATAATAAAAATTGGTACAGAACAATTCTTAACAATATTATTTATTTTAGCAAAAGTAAAAGTCTTATAATTTTTATCAAAAATAAAAATCTTAACAATATATTTATTATGATAAAAATCTTCTCCTAGAAAATATCGTCAGTCGTCACTAATGAATCTAATCATCATGGTCACCACATAAAACCCTCACCGACCACCACAAACTAACCACCGGCATTAACTCTTTTCTTTCCCCACGTTTTATAACGCATCACATCCTAAGAGATCACAAGAATCTTCTTACCACCGCAACTACAAACACCCTCCAATATTTCTATTTTAATTTATATCAATTCAAGTTTATTCAATATTGTGATATTTTATCAAAAACTAAAACCATAAACCAAATCTAATTATATATTCACCAAACAATAATAAGACATGTGGTTCATGTAAATAAATAAAAAGAGTTGAATTAGGCGTGGATTTTACCTGCAAAGAGGAACGTTGCAGGAATCATTCTGTTGACAAACATATGAATGCAATCTAAACAGCTGCCACATTCGCTTGCATCTCCAGCACCCTCCCTTCACCCTCTTTTTGCACGTAGCAAAATGACGAATCAGAAGCTGAAGACCCTGACACGTCGAGAATCTCTTACACGGTTTCTTCTCTCTGTCAACCTCCACATGGTATGGCCCAACATCGATGCATCCCTCCGTACATATATGCTCCAAACACTCCATCGCCTCGCTTAGCTCCGCATACAACCCAAACTCCTCCCTACGCCTCCTCAATTTCTCCTTCCTCGTTTCGCTTTCGTCCATAAACTGAAGGATATCGAGTTCAAGCCATGGATCGTGTTTTATCAGAAACTTCCACCCTTCGGTTTTTTGAACGGTGTTGAAGTGATTGGTGAGAAGCTTCATACATCGGAGGCGGAGATCCGGTGCGTCGCAGAGCCTCGCGAGTTGGAGTACATCGACGACGTTCTCTACGGTTAGCCGTTGAGATAGGCCTTTGATGCATATCTGTTTCAGTTGCGGCACGTTGTAGACATGAGATAGTGCTAGCAAGTGGATTCCGTATTTGTCCATTTCTTCCTCGGTACATCTGTAACAAACCAGGGATATTCTTGTCATTTTGTATTATTGACCGCGGTTGGTTGAAGATGAAGTGATAGTATTGTAATAGTACATACCTGGATGAGTAGAGGAAGCCGATGAATGCGGTGGCGGCGGTGGAAGGGACGCCGTGGATTTGAATTATTCTTTCGGAGCTTCGGTGTTTAGGCGGTTGATCTATAATGTTCTCGAGAACCGGCGACACTGATGCCTGATTTCATACCAAAAAGAATTTAATAATAGGTAATAATTGACAAAAAAAAACTATAAGAATTGAATTGAAATTGGAGACAAACCAGAACGCTAGTGTGTGCGGGAATGCGAGTGCCATCGGAAGTGTGAATAAAGATATCGTATTCGGGTAAGACTCGAGTGGTTTGGAAGTGAATTGGTGAAATCTGTTGCATTTTTTGTTGATTGGAAGAAGAGAATTGTGAGAGAATTTAAGATAGTTTTGGGTGAGATAGGAAGAAAAGATAAGGATTCTGAGATGTAAGCGGTGAGTTAGTATTTAAAGGAAAGATATGAAGGAGGTTGGGACAAAGACGCGGAAAGTTCATATTCATGAATGAAGCATTTGCGATCTTTATTAACACGCGCTGTCAATGTGTCATACATATCACTTTAGTCAACAAAGACAAAAGACTTTTTACCTCACTAAAAATATTGTGGCACGAGAAAAACCTACATAATAATTTGATTAAATTGACTTTTTACCTCACTAAAAATATTGTAGCGCACGAGAAACACATACATTATAATTTGATTAAACTATCTTCCACCAATATATAATTAGTTAGTTTCATATGAAAAAGAAGTTAATTGATAATTAAATTTATCAATATGAGTATGGATAAATCAAATTCAATTTATTTATTTTTACATTCTAATAGGTAATTTTTATTTTTAAATTAAATTTAATGAAATATGAATTAGAATTGATGTTGAATGATGATATCGGAGCCAAGAAGTTATGATGTTGATTATTGATATGGTGGCGCGAGATGGATCTAAAACGTTAACACTTCAACACTCAAGTCAGTTATAAAATTCAATATAAATGTAGTAAGAGAATGAAAATCAGAAAATGTACATTGAATCTCACATGCACTAATTATATACATTGGGTATTTTCAATTGGGTTATGTATGGTTGGACAGTTGACTCAAAAGGTTGTTACGTGTTTACTAGCCTAAAAGTCATTTAAAGTCTTGAGCGACATATGGATATCGTGTCCGGCCATGATAAGAAGTGAAAAGTCATAGGGTAGTTACAAAAGTAACAGAGAACAAGTGCATTAAATAGTTTATCATCATTGAGATGTTTCTCCACTCCCTAGACGTGTGGCTCTAAACCTACAGGTTAGGGCTTGGTTTCCCCACGTAGAGTACTCGAGTGCATCTGAATTATTTATATTCCCAATGAGCGCTTGATCCATCAACTTTATTTTTTCTCCATACTTCTGATCTCGATCATTGGTTTGATGTTTATCTCATTATAAAAGGTTGACCCTTGTTTCAAATGTCTCTTTTTACTTCATTTACCTTTTGGGAAATTTAGTCATTTGACGCCTCTTCATCGCGGGCCATTCTTTTCATTGTGTCTTCTCTTCTCAAGGTATGTATTCATCTTCCTTCTAAGTATCATTATGGCCAAACTAGAGAGTGTCCCTATAGACATGACCCTTTGACTTGATAGTGGTGAGTCTTCATTATCTACTAAAGTTAAGAACCCAGAACTCGTGGACATTTTATACGGGCGGATTTCCTCATTTATGGAAGAAAAAAATTGACTAGTGGTAGCTTTGGGTCACGGTTGGACAATTCGGACGATAAGCAGGAATCGTCGATGGGGGAGGTTGTCGTATGCGTCGCCTCTCTCGCCCGTGCCAAATTTAATTTGGGTATTACCTTATTTAAAATGGAAAAGTGTGAGACTGGTTCCTTTATCCAGTCTCTCGAGAAAAATGCTCCTCGTAGGTGTTTTAGGGTTTGTGTTTCCTTTTAGAATTTTTTTTATTATCGCTTATTAGAATAATTCATTTTACGATTCAAAGACGAGTATGGTTCAACCTAAGGACTTGATGGATCTGAATGATGTGTATCAATATCCCTGGGTGAACCTTACGTACTTGGGAATAGTTTCCTCATATATTCAAGAGGTGTCGTAATGAAGGCTACCTTTGTAATGGGGCCATTTCGGATTGATCTATCTTCATCATCCCTTTATAAAAGGATTTGTAGCAAGTTTGATGGGTGTTCTACTTCTTTTTATGATTGCATCTTTCAGAAGCTAGGTGTTTGACGGCCTATGACGGCTTTCGAAAAAAGAGGTGTTGGATCACCTTTGTATTTCACTAGTTGAAGCAAGTGTTAGGCCCCGTTCTTGCCCTCGATTTTTTGGTCCGGATCAAGGTGAACGTCTCCTGGGTTCCACCTCCTAATCTCTTGGAGTGGCTAGCTTCTAAGAGGGGGTGCATCAATTGTGTCGTAATGTGCATAGTTTTATTATCTCATGTTTCCTAAAATAGAAAGAAAGGAAACAAGTGCAGTTGACATGGTAATGGAAAAAATCATTATGTATTTACGTGCCAATGGATTACATTAAATAAAGGTAATAGTTCGATCCCTCCCCTTTCTCAGCTGAAGTAATGCTTTACCTTGACAACATTTTAGGTTCTTGGTATCCGCTCCTTCGCTGGGGTTTCTAGGACGTAAGCCCATTTTCTGGTGATGATGTGGACTATATATGGATCTTCCTGTTTTACCTCTAACTTTTTATGTCAGACAGTTTTGTCTCTGATATCGACCCTTTGTAGCATTAACTATCTTGTTTGAAATTCTCTGGGTCGCACATGTTGGTTGTATCTAGAGGCCATGTTTCTGGAGGTCATGGTCTACTTCATGACAACACTAGTACTAGTGAAGGTAACATATATTCTTTTTTCTTCCAAGAGGTCATTTTCTTCCCTAATTGCACAATTGTTTTCTTCTTCTATCAAAGGATGAGTCATTCTCCAATTCAGCTCTTCAACCTCTACCGGACTTTTGTAACATCCCTAAATAATTAAAATATTATTTTACTTGTTATTTTAATTTTATTATAGTTATTTATTTATTAGTATAGTTATTTATTGTTATTATTATTATTATTATTTCAAGTTTATCGTATTTTCATTATTATTATTATTATTATTATTATTATTATTATTATTATTATTATTATTATTATTATTATTATTATTATAATAGTTATTTAGCATTTAGTTTATAGTTTAGAATTACAAGAAATAATAGGAAGGGAATTTGAAGAAGAAAGAAAAATAGAGAAAAGAGAGAAATAGATTAAAAAATATATAAAAAGGGAGAAAAATAGAGAAAAGAGAGAAAATGAGAGAAATAGAGAAAATATGGAATTAAAAATAGAAACACGTCTTTGAGAAAAAAAAAACCTAGCCTCCAAAGGCTTTCTTCTTCTCTAAGACCCTTCTTTTCCAAAAATTCAAAAGAAAACCTCAATCCACCTAAGAGATTGTAGTAAAGATTGTGCAAAGGAGAGTTGTTGTCATTGTTAAAAGTTTCACAGAAAAATTCTACAATAACAAGTAAATGAGAGAGATTATTCTATAATATTGGTATTTTGGCGTTTATGGTAGTGATGTTTCCTTTGAACCCCAAATTCATCACGGTTCTATGTTAATTTTCTTACGAGATGATGACTCATAAACCCTAAGTTATGAATTTCTCTCATACCATCATTGGTTAGGTTATGTGGATAAGTTGAGGTGTTTCCCTGAACTTTGTGTATGCATGTAAATATCATGTTCTTTATGATGATATGTTATGATGGATTGATTGTGTCCAATTAATGCTTTGATATGTTGAAATCTAAAATTTTCATGTTTGTAATGTTTGTTTTCGTACTTGAGTTTGAGGGAACTATAGGTGATATTTAGACACAAAATTATGCAGAAAAACGTTGTTTTCTGATTAAGGTGAGTAATAATCAAATACCACTATTTGGTATTCGAATACCAATGTTGAAAATTTTATGGCAGAATTGAAAATAGCATAACTTGAGTTTAAAAACTCAAATTGAAGCGCAATCAGATGCGTTAGAAAGCTAATGCAAAGACCTATCTTATGGTAAGAGTTTCATAATAATTATAGGTATGAACAATTTTCATAATAATTAATATTAGTTAAGATTAAAATTCTGCAACTTGCGATTAGTATATCATGTTAGTCATTTGCCTATAACTTTAGTTACATGGGTCTTTTAGGAGTGAAACTAAAACCGTAATAAAATGGACAAGATTTAGCACGATATAACATTTGATTTAGATTATTTGTTTATGGAAAAGATGAGAAAACTGAACTGCAAGCTCAATTATCATCTAGAAATTCTGCAGCACATGTAGCGGGGAAATTTGTGAGTGTAAGTTATTGATTAACTTAACTCAAAATGCAAGAGTCACCACCGCACTTTTATTTTATCCAAAAGGAAAGGAAAAGAGTGGGAAAAACCTAAAGAGTTCTAAAACAAGAACAAATAGAAAATGTGTAAGGGGGTTGGTTAGACAATGGGAAGGTGTTAGCACCTAAAACGTCTATAGTATTCTACAGGAGCCCTTTAAAATATTTGTGTTTTTTGGTTTAAAAAGGTTTGTTTGAAAATAGATGGGGAGATGAGAAGAGAAATGTTTTTTTTAAAGATATTTGTGTTTGAAGAGACTTCTTGAGCCTCATGCCTACGTACCTACAAAGTGCTATATAGGATCAGAACCTCGTAGTTCATGGTACAAATAATAAAAAATGGTTTGTTATGGTTGATTTTAAATGTAAAGACAAGTCGTCATTTTAAGGAGAAAACTACGACTATTCGCCCACAAGTATAAGAAAACAACATTTGCATCACCTTAAGATGAAGAACTTTGCTTGGATAAAGATCAACAAGTTTACCACTCAATATCTAAGTGGAAAATGTCAACATCTTAAATACTATGGGGAATAGAAGAATTACACCTCAACTATGAAAATGACTCATGTCTAAACTTTTTGAAAAGTTTTAAATGAAAAAGTGCACAAAGGCACAAAAAGTTTGAATGAGTTTTTATATTTTTTATGTCTTTTGAAATAGTCAAAGTATGATTAACATTGATTGACATTTATTAAAGAAAACAAAGTTTGAAAAATCACTTGAAAAAAGTCAAGGTTTTTTATGAAAGAGGTTTAATTTTGAAAACAATAAGGTTTTGAAAAAGGGAGAAGATTTTGAAAATTGAAGAAGGGGTGGAGAAGAGTGACTACCCTAAAAAGAAAAATAAGAGCTAGAGATGAGAAGATCTAACCACACAAGGAGTAAATACTTGACAGGAAGTGAACATAAGCAATCCTCTTTCTTTTGG